TTTTTTTTTTTTTTTTTTTTTTTTTTGTCCTTTTTGAGACCGGCTGCACTGCGCTCAGCCAGTGAGCGCTGTGAGCACACCGGTCATCCCTATATAGGATCCGAACCCGCAGCGGGAGCTCTGCAGCGCTCCCAGCGCCGCACTCTCCCGAATGCGCCACGGGCTCGGCCCATACTCAGTTTCTTCTTACCTACCCAAAGACTTCTGGGAGGATGAAATAAGACTGTGTATGTATCTTACTTATACCTAACACACAGTGCCAGCATACAGTGTGCCCACAAATTGTAGCTTTTGTTATTCTTGTCAGTTTATTCATCAAGCCCAACCTATGCCTTTATAGCCCTGCATTTTTCTCATCTCTGCATAGCTTGGAGCTAGTTAGGTACAGGCTGAGCCTTTTCCTTTTCTCTGCAGGACTTTGAGGTCTGACCCAGCAGCCTGAGCCCCTTCTGCTCCCACCCACCCTGGTCCTGAACATTCTGTTGCTCCCCACCTTGTCTTTAGGTGACTATGAGCTGGATATCTCCCCATATGAAGACACAGTGATCAGCAAACCCTGGAAAATGAATCTCAGCAAACTGAACATCTTCAAACCAGGTGGGGAAGGCAAGCCTAGGCTAGGGAGTGGGAGGCTGGGCCTCTACCCTGAGGGAAGGGTGTCTGGGGGGAACACAAGCTGAGGGGCTTCTAGGGAAGAGTTTTTAGCCTGCCAGGTTATTAAAGAAGCACTGTATCAGGATGGAAGTCTGAGCTATGGGCATGGTCTAGTCTCACAGGAGTCATCAAAAAGCAACAGTTATCAGGGAGGCATTCCAAGAGAGCCCATTAGGGCTCCCTGGTTCCAAAAGGCAGGTCCCTACAAAGGGTGTGGTGGGAGTGGAAGCAATCCCAGAAAAAAATGTGCTGAAATGGAGTATTTACCCACATTCAAGGCAGCTAGGAAAGTAGCTTTTTTGTCCCTGAAGACTAGGAAATTGCTTGTTTTCAACCATTCTAATGGGAATGGGCGAGGTGTTGGGCAGGGAAAATAGTGAGAGAGAGTGTGACTCCGCACAGGGGTGACTCAGGATGGAGAGCCATCAGTCTGGCAAGGATGCATGTTTTTCAGGAAAGTGAGGCTGTGAGTTAATTGAGAAGGAACACACACACATGCACTCTTTTGGGAAAGATGCAAGCTTTGCTGTATAGTTAGATCCATATGTTAGAATTAGAATTTTGAGAAAAAAACAGAGATTTATACATGGAAAACTCTTAGTTACAACAAATCAGTGAATAATCTGTTCCAGTTACTCAATTGTTCTGGCTGCTGTAATATTCTGTGAATAGAAATATCATTATAATTTCCCAAGGCTCAGAATATGGGGAACTTTTATATATGAATCAGTAGATGAAAGATGGGTAGATGACATTAAAACCAAGCGGAATAGACAGGTGCAAACCAAACCAAGACCAAACCAAAAACCTAAATAGAATTTGGTTGCATGTATTTGGGACAGTTCAGAAAGTATTTTAGAATGTTGCAGGGCCTTCAGGTTATGATTTCCATCATCAGATCTTACTGCACAGCACTGAGAAAAGGGTTTTGGTTATTTGAGCTTTCTGGCTGCTTGAATTCTAGATAAATGAATGTTAGATGTATATAGAGGATGATGGTGATGATGATGATTTTACCTAGTCAGGATGAGGAGTAGGATGGGGAAGCCTTCAGAATACCGTCTATAGTTTGTGGGTAGAGGGAGAGCCCTGGATTAGGAATGGCTATTCAAGACAGTCCTCCCTTTCCTGCTACCCCCACTACCTTCCTTGTCAAATCAGGGGTTTGCCGGGGGTCTAGGGAGATCGGGATACAGGTAAGCAGATAGGACGAGGCCTGATGACTTGGTGCCCCTCTCCCTCCAGATTGGGACCTCTGCCTCAAGTTTGCCATGCTGTGTACTCGTAATGACAAGTGCGACCAGCTGCGCAAGGCCTACGGGGAGGCGTGCTCCGCACCCCGCTGCCAGCGCCACGTCTGCCTCCGGCAGCTGCGCACTTTCTTTGAGAAGGCGGCGGAGCCCCACGCGCAGGGCCTTTTGCTGTGCCCGTGTGCACCCACTGACCGGGGCTGCGGGGAGCGCCGGCGCAACACCATCGCCCCCAGCTGCGCGCTGCCTTCTGAGGCCCCCAACTGCCTGGATCAGCGGCGCCTCTGCTTCTCCGACCTGCTGTGCAGGTACGAGGTGTGGGCGGGCAGGGTGGGCAAGGACGTGGTGCGCACTACTCTTTCCCGGCCACCTTCTGTGCGGGGCTGGGTCTGACACCCCCCCCCCCCCCGGAACCCTGGACCCACTGGCTGCTTCGCCAAGTAGCCACCTTGGATATTTATGAAACTCTTTTCTCAAAAAGAATATGTTTTTTTTCTTTGTGTAAAACTTCAGAAAATATAAAAATGTATATATCACTTGAAATTCCATCACATGAAGATTATCTACTATACTTTGGGGAGCATTTCCTTCCAGTCATGCTTCTATCTGGATAACAAAAGTAGACATTCTGGGGCCGGCCGGTGGCGCACTGCTACAGTCCGCTGCTTGGGAGTGCGGTGGCGCTCCCGCTGAGGGTTCGGATCCCACATACAGACCGGTTCCCGCTCACTGGCTGAGCGAGGCGCGGGAGCAACACCAAGGGTTGCGATCCCGTTGCCGGTCCCGGTCCGGTACAGGCGCGACACTGAGGGTTGTGATCCGTTGCCGGACAAGAAAAAAGACAAAAAGGAAAAAAAAAAAAAGTAGACATTCTGGGGATATATTTGTGTCTTGCTTTTTTTCACTTATGGTACATATCTCAAGCATTTTCCCATGCAGGCAGTATGGAGTGGTGGTAAGACAGGTTCTGAGGTCAGACAGACGTGAATTTAAATCTTGAGTCCAAATCAATCAATCAATCAATCTTCGGTCCAAGTGATCTTGAGCACATCACTTAACCTAAAATTCCATTGCTTAACCTAAGGTTCTGTTTAGTTCTGCACAAAAACTGTAAAAATAACGCACACCCGGTGGGATCTGGTGAGAGTTAAATTACATAATTTATGTAGAGTGCTTAGTTTATGAGTGCTAAGTAAGTGCTCAATAAATGGGAGAGCTTATTTTGTCATTTACTATCCCTTAAGAACTTGATTTTTATTTTTATTTATTTATTTATTTTAAAAGATGGCCAGTAAAGGGATCTTAACCCTTGACTTGGTGTTGTCAGCACCACACTCACCCATTGAACTAAACGGCCATCCCTATATGGGATCTGAACCCATGGCCTTGGTGTTACCATCACCACACTCTCCCAAGTGAGCCACGGGCCAGCCCGGCCCCCAAGAACTTGATTTTTAAATGCCTATATTGTATTCCATTGTATGGATGCCTCATACTTTATTTAGCCATTCCTCTATTGTTGGATATTTAGGTTTTCTTTATTGCTATAAATAATGCTGCAATAAATATCACTCTCATTATTTAATCTTTGTTCACAAATGTAATTATTATTTAGGATGTGTTCCTACAAGTGGCATTATCAGATCAAAGGTCATGAAGATTTGTAAGATATTTGATGCATATTCTCCGGAAAATCTGAAGTTTTGATCTGGCTTTCCTCCGCTTTCTCAAGTCAAAACACTCACCAAATTGAAGTTATTCATTCAAGTGACATTTGTTGACAATACGAGTCACATCAATGTTGATTTGCAACTTGTTTCCACAACTTCCCTGTTTGTAACCTTGGGCAAGTTACTTAACCTCTCTGAGTACCACTTTCCTCATCTATAAACTATCTCATAGGGCACTAAATAACCATATTACTAACATTTATTGAGTATTTACTATGATCTGGATACTGTTTTGCATACTGAACATGTATTAACTCATCTAAACCTCACAAGAACCCTATAAGATAGATGCTATTATTGTTTTTTATCATCCTCAGTTTACAAATAATGAAACCACAGTAGAGAGAGGTTAAATAACTTGGTGAAAGTCAACCAGCTCCTAAGTCAGGTTTGTTAAGTTAGGTTTGGAATGCAGGGGGTCTGGCCTAGAGTCTGTGCTTTTAACCATGTGTTCTCCTGCCTAGTATTGTACTAGTAGCTATCACTATTATGTAACAGGTCTTGGGCTAAATGACTAAGATATGTCCCTGCCTTTAAGTAGTTTGCAGTAGAGAGGGGGTGACAGAGAAGTAAACCATCAACCTAACACTAGGCAAAATGTTATGAAAACTGCAGAAATATATACAGAAAAACATGCTCATAATTACATCACCCAAAGAAAACCAGCTTTTCCTATTGTGGAATGAGTGTTAATAATAACCATATCTGGGCTGGCCAGTTAGCTCAGTTGTTTAGAGTGTGGTGCCGATAACACCAAGGTCAAGGGTTTGGATCCATGTACAGGCTGGCCACCAAAATAATAATAATAGCAATATCTAAAATTTATTAAGCACTTAACATGTACCAGGCACTATGCTAAGTGCTATACATGCATTTTCCTATTTCATCCTCATAGAAATCCACAAGGTAGTACTGTTGTCTCTATTTTACAGTCAAGGAAACTGAGGTTAAAGAGACTGCCTGACGTCTCATAAATAACTAGGGATTGTGGAACCCAAATTCAGAGTGATATACTATGGGGGTGAGGTGATGGTACATTTAATTGTGTCAGGGGCAGGTTTCACTGGAGAGAAGTGCCTGGGCCAGGCTCTGAAGGCAGAAGAGGATTTGGCATGAGGATGGACATGCCACGCTAAAGGCGCAGCAAGGGTGAAGGCTGCAGGCCAGACACTCAATGGGGACTCTTGAAATTTCCCTTCTTGCAGATCACGCCTGGTGGATTTCCAGACCCACTGCCATCCCATGGACATCCTAGGGACTTGTGCAACAGAGCAGTCCAGATGTCTGCGAGCATACCTGGGGCTAATAGGTGAGGCTGGGGGCATGTGAAGGGAGCCCATGAGTTGGCTAGCTCTGAGGGTGAAAATGCTCTGGAGACTGAACTCAGATGGTGTGGTCCTTAGATGGGTGGGAGCTGAAATTAGGGTGGGTCCAAGCCCTGACAACCCCTTCCTTTCTTCACCCTACAGGGACTGCTATGACCCCCAACTTTGTTAGCAACACCAACATCAGTGTTGCCTTAAGCTGCACCTGCCGAGGCAGTGGCAACCTGCAAGAGAAGTGTGAACGGCTAGAAGGGTCCTTCTCCCACAACCCCTGCCTCAGTGAGTGTGCTCTATGTTCCTAACTTTAATGGCTGGGTCGGCTGGACCCAGAGGGAGGGAAAGTTCAGCTCTGTGGCCCAGAGTGGTTCCATATATCTCCTTCAGATGGAGCAGCCCTCTTCTCAGCATAGGCTTCCATCCCTGCAGCCGGAGCCTTTCTTCCTTCTCCCACTCCCTGAGTGACCCCCCACACTGCCTGTTCAACCTTTCTGGGCCCCAGGGACATCTCCAGCTCAAGGAGCAAGCAAGTGGAATGACACGATATCCCGTTCCCACCTTGCACCCACCTGTTCCCCTATATCCCAGGGTCCCTGTGGCATTTCCTTTCCTTCCTTGGGAACCTGAGAGATCTCCTGCCATCACGGCCTTCCAATCTGCCTTCTCTCCTCTCTTCAGTGAAGGCCATTGCAGCTAAGATGCGTTTTCACAGCCAGCTCTTCTCCCAGGACTGGGCAGGCACTACCTTTTCTGTGATGGAACGCCAGGTAGGGCCTCCTCTGTTACACTGCTCATACTTTACCAGACCAGCTGGAGAAAATCCAAACCAGGCATATAAGGGGAGAGGGGAAGGGGGTTGACCTCCTTGTTGCAGCGAATACTATAGACATCTAATGGACACTTCAGGGGAAGGGGGTGGTCTTAACTGAGGCTGAGGTGGTGAAGGGGAGGATAGTCCCCTGAGCTGACTCCATTCCATTGCTTCCACAGAATAAAAACCCTGCTCGGAGGCCCCAGCCCTGGGCGCCCGCTCTTTTCTCCTGCACACTTACCTTGATCCTGCTCCTGAGCCTCTGGTAGCTGGACTTCCCCGGCGCCCTCTTCCCCTCCACCACACCACGCTGGACTTGCAGCCTGTGAGGAGTGAGGAGAGGACAGCATCAGAAAGGAGTTGCAGTGCTCAGTGTGACAATCCTGATCCCACCTGGCAGGTCCAGTCTGCTCCAGATGAGGGAGGCCACAGTAGAAGCTAGGGGCTATGGCCTCCAGATCCCATTCCCTCCACCCCTACCTCCACTTCTGACTCAGGCTGCCCCTTCTTAGGACTTGGTGACCACAGTTTAGCCATGTCTTCTGGTAAATAACCAACTCCACCGAGCTCTTTCCTGATCCCTTCCTCCTGCCCACCAGGATCAGCCTGAGTCTCACAAATCAGTCATTCTCTATTGCATTCTCCAGGTAGGCAGGGCTAGGTGTTCTGAGGCAGCCTAGAAAGACATTACCACTCTATTGCATTCTCCAGGTAGGCAGGGCTAGGTGTTCTGAGGCAGCCTAGAAAGACATTACTAGGCTCATTACTAGGGGAGCAGAACTCCTGCTCCCATGTCTCCTCTCCTGAATGGGGGATGGGAACCTGCTGCCTGTACTGCTCTGCCCCTGGATCTTGCACAAATTTGAGCATCAGGAAGTGGAGCCTTTGGCACTTGCTTTATTCCTACAACTGTCCCAAAGTCCCCCAGCCTCTTGGATCATAATTAAACCGTTTGACTTAAGACTTTCCTTTTTTCCCATTTTCTCAAATTGTGAATTTATACAGAACTAGGGGTGTAACAGACAAAAGAGCATAGGCCAAGTGATGAGGAGACACACAACCCTACCAACTGCTTTATGACTTCAGGCAAGTCTCAGCCTCTCTGTATTCTTGACATAGAGTTTGAAGAAAATAGCTTGTGTGAGGCTGTGGACCTGGTATCTGTCCCAGCTCCAGCCATTTCTGGGATACTGCCTGGGATCTGCCACAGCAGCTGAGACAGAGGCCCTTAGACAACCATTTACGGACTGGCCCGTGGCTCACTCGGAAGAGTGTGGTGCTGATAACACCAAGGCCACGGGTTCGGATCCCATATAGGGATGGCCGGTTAGCTCAATGGGTGAGCATGGTGCTGACAACACCAAGTCAAGGGTTAAGATCCCCTTACCGGTCATCTTTAAAAAAATAAATAAATAAAAAGACAACCATTTACTGAGCACCTGCTTGTATTGTTCTGCTCCAGATCATGATAAGGGCCAGAGGTAGGCAGAGATTAGTCCTTGATCTCAGAGAATTGTAATCTTCTTGGGATAAGGAGATACCCACCCATGTAAAGTAGTTGGAAGAATGTATTTATAGAGCTGTGGATATTTGTCTATTAATTCATACCCTCTCTCTTTCAATAAGCATCTGATGAGTGCTGGCCCTGCAAGACACTGTGCTGGGTGCACGAGATTCCTAGATAATAAGACTCAGGGGGCTGGCCAGTTAGCTCAGTTGGCTAGATAATAAGACTCAGATCCTATTATCAAGTCTTTCATATACCAGAGCAGGGAAACAGATAAGACAGTTAGTAAGAGCAATGTGGTGTGATAAGTGCTATACAATAATTATTATAATAACCCTTATTTATTGAGCCCTACTGTGTGCCAAGTACTACCGTGAGCCTACTGTCCGCAAATAAATGCATTAATTCATTTAATCCTCCAACAACACTTGACTTTGTCAGTCACAAGGTGTATGATCTTGGGCTTAATCTCTCTGGAACTCCATTTCCACATATGTAACATGGAAAAGCACAGAACTCACCTCATAAGGAATGAGATAATCCATATAAGAGCATTGCACCTGACAACTAGTGGAACTCAAAAACTTTAACAATTATAGTATATGGTTTTTGTAGAGAATTCAGATAATACAGACAATTAT